ATCTGTAAACCAAATTGACGTCAGGCACGTAACGAAAGTTACACAAAAGCGATGCGATAATAGAAGAAAACGAATAATATGATAAAAGTGTAAACATTTCAATTTTGAATAAATAAATATCCGAAAATATCAACACAAGCCTTTGTTTATCCATTTTTTTGTCTTCTGTTTAAATGAATCAAAGACTCAGGAGAAAAAGACTCATTCATTGCTAAAAAAAAGTACCCAACCGATAAGAAGTGTTAGATAAAATATTCGTTGCAATTCAAATAATTTTGAGTGCGAGAATATTCCAAATTGGATTATGGTTAAGTATTCAGCTGTACAAGTAGTCTCTGTTGGTGTATTTCCATTGGAAGAAATGTCAAATGTATCTGACATTTGGAATAGTTTCCCGCTCAGTAATTTCGCGGAGCACCAAAACGCATATTTCCAACGAATCAAGCATTTTTAAGGGTTTGTTTTACATTTACTGCATAGAAATTCTCAAAACTCTCTCTCAGTCAGAGTCTATTGCAAAAATATTGTGAACATTTCAAAATAAATGTAATTTATTGCATTTAAAAACGAATTCAATTCAAATGAATATTGTGTACGCTGAATGGCGCTGTCAGTGGCTTGTGTTAAATATGATATGACGTTCAGTGTCGAATCAAAGATGGCATCCATTTGATGTACACTATACTAGCATTAAATAGGATTTATTATTTTTTTGAAATTTTCACAATCTCATTCGAAACGATTTGTATTATTAGTTTTAATTTATTTCAATTAAAGGTAGAGGAGAAAACATCGATTGGTGTGTTTTTTTAGACTTAGACCGATTTCAACTAGCGACAAATAGTTTGGCGTGAAAACAAATTGCAGTAAATAAAAAAACGAAAGAAAGAAAGAAAAGTGCACCGCATTCTGTAAAAGTATCTATTTGCTAACAAGAAGAAATAAATGTATTCGAATTAGACATTGGCGAATATTGGCTATTGCATTTTAGCATCATGATTGTACAAGAACCCGTGCAGGTAATGTGTAATTCGAAATTAAACCAAATATGTGCATCAATAAATTGCATTTTGTTTTTTGTTGTATGTAATTCAAAGATTTTCGTAATACGATGTGTCGAAACGAACAAAAGACCATGGCGACAAAATCGATTTTATATGACGAACAAACGAAACACAACAAAAAATCATTGTTTGCGCAATTTTAATCAAAACTATTTATTTTTATTTTGTGATTAATATTACAGGCAGCCATCTGGCATTGTTTGAATAATTATGCATTTCGGGACGCAACCTTTCTCGCAGAACGACTATGTGCTGAAAGTAAGTTGAAAGGTCATTTATTTTGCTGCTAAATTAATTACCCATTCCCGTTCAATTTTCACTAATTGGGTTTTTTCCCTTTGGATAATGTATGTTGACCTGTTTATTTGATTTCATCTCTTTTTTTTTTCAGTTGAAACCGATGAAAGCATTTTCACATTGGCTACTTGTTATTATCGATCAAATCAAATTCATCAAGCGTATTGGCTGCTCAATAAAAAGAAAACCAAAGCTGCTAAATGTAGATATTTATATGCAAAATGTGCATTCGAGTTGAAAAAGTGAGTAAATGGATGTTTCATGTATTCATATGTTGTTGGGATTTGCGTCATATTTTTGGCTATTGATCGAATTTTAACCGAAAATTAAATCAACAAAATGTGATACATCAAAATGTCACTTAAATGATTTCCAAATGTCAATTACATGCAAACTATAAATGTTTATTATTATTATGTTTTTGTTCAATTAGGTACAACGTTGTCGAGGTTGCTTTGACACGTGAGTCTAACGTCGAAATCGAACATTTGGATCGTATTGTTGACGATTTTGCCGACATCGCAAGCTTTGCATTGCAATTATTGGCAAAATTGTGTTCAGTGACGGACCGTCATCAGATTGCTGCTCATGCCAACCGTCGTGCGCTTAAATTGAATCCATTTTTATGGACACCGTTCGTTAGTTTGTGCAATCATGGTCATAAGCCAGTGCCCAATGAAATCTATAAATTTGATAATATCGAAACCTTTCATACGTGCCAGGAGAATTTCAATTGGAATAGTTCGTTCATATTTCTTGGCGCCGGTGATTCCACTGATGTAAGCCTCTCAGAATCAGACGATTCGAGTAGATCGTACAGTATTTATACAACACCAATTATGGATCAGAATGTTTTCAATGCAAATGATCGAATCATTAGTTCGTTAAATACATCATGCACGACTACCGTGGGTAATGTAACCGCATCGGAGAGTTTGAATGACAGTTCAGTGGCTGGTGCAACACCATTTCGACGCCAATTTAGATATTTATCGAATATAAGTCCGTCAACGCCAAGTTTTGGATGGCTACCGGCCAATAGTCCCGTCGAAAATACAAATACAAGAAATAGTAAAATGATATCGCCGACGTTTCAACAACAACAACAGCAGCAGCAACAACAACAAATGCTATCTGAAACCAACGAACAAAATAAATACAATCGAAAAAATTTGCGAAGTAACGTTACAAATTCTGGTAATCGTAAAGAGGCTCCGTTACAAATAAGTAAACCAGTTTTTATGCAAACTGGCAACACAACACCACGAACACAGAACACACTTGGCGCACAAAATGTGCGTCGCAGTTCACGCCTATTCACAAGTAATTCAGTTAAGGAGAATAGTAAAAATCCGATGGGAAATAAATTTGCGGCGCCAAGATCACCGCCACGTAAAAATAAACAGCGTCTCACCACAAAAATGAATCTATCCAATTCAGCCCTAAATGAAATCAACGCAGAGAAACCACAAAAACAAATATCCGATTTGGACAAAGAGAAAATTGAAACAATCACATCGACTGGTAATATTATTTGCATTATTCTTCTTCGATTATTTTAAATTAATTGTATTCTTTTCTTTTGTGATTCTCCCCCCAGGTAATATTATGAATACAAAAACCGTGAACAATACACAAAATGTGGCGAAACAAATTCTAATAATGCGAAAACAAAGTGCTGAAGGTCTGATGTCATTGATGCGCATATTAGCCGATGGTTATCTTCAAATGTCACAATTCAATTGTATTGAAGCAATCGAAGCGTTCAATAGCATTCCATATCATCATTTAATGTCGACGGGAGTGCAAAGTATGATTGCCAAAGCGTATCACGAGAAACATGACTATAAAATGGCTGCCCAGATATTCATGGAAATTCATCGAAAAGAACCGAATCGCCTTGAAATGATGGAAATTTATAGTACGGTATTGTGGCATTTGCAACGTGAAGTTGAACTGTCAGCATTGGCACAAGACTTGAAAGCACAAGATTATCTATCACCAATAACTTGGTGTGTGCTGGGTAACTGCTTTTCATTGCAAAAAGAACACGAATCGGCCACCAAATGTTTTGAACGTGCCGTTCAAGTTGATCCCGATTTCACCTATAGTTATACATTACTTGGCCATGAATTAATCATCACCGAAGAACTTGACAAAGCAATGTCTTGCTTCCGAACCGCTATTGTTAAAGATCCACGTCACTATAATGCATGGTATGGCATGGCTTCCATTTATTCAAAACAAGAGCGTCATCATTTGGCCGAATATCATTTTAAGGAAGCGCTTAAAATCAATCCCAAATGGTCGGTCATGATGGTGCACATCGCTGTCACACAATTCAATTTAAATAAAACCGAACAAGCGTTGGAAACATTAAATGCAGCCATTGCTATCGATCCGAATAATCCATTGTGTAAATTTCATCGTGGTTCGATTTATTTCCAGTGCGGACGTTATGTGGATGCACTCAAAGAGCTCGAACAATTGAAGCACACTGTGCCAAAGGAATCAGTTGTATTTTATATTGTAGGAAAAATTCATAAAAAAATGGGCAACGTCGATTTGTCATTGATGAACTATAGCTGGGCAACCGATTTAGATCCGAAAGGGGCAAACAATCAAGTGAAAGAAGCATTTGATGGACAAAATAATTCAACAATGCCATTATTAACGCCAGATGCACACGAAGCCGCTTCCGACCGAAGTGACGATTCAACACAATTGCGAGGTGGCGAAGACGGCGACGAACCAAGCCTGTTAAATAATGATGATTTCTAAAATTAAATCGATTTCCACACCAACATCTCAACACCAACAGCAACAACAGATAATTAATGCGACGAAACAATAGGGAGCGCAAAACAAAATAGAATATAACAATATACAGATATTTTAGTCGATTTCGCAGTTTCTTGTTTAAAACTGAATGTACATGAATTTAATCAAATGATAATTGAAATAGAGATAAGAAAATGGAGCATGAAAAAGAAGTTAAGTACGGAAAAAAAATTTAGAGACAAAGTACGCTTAGTTGATAACAAAAGAAAATCGAACATAAAATGGTAAACACTTGATGGAAATTTCATTGAAGTTTCAAAAACTTTATAATAAATGTGATTCAGAACTCACTACGAAGTACACATGCAAAATAGGAATAAGGATGGTTCACTTTTTCTTTCTCTGTTGTTTTCTAAGTGGATTTTTTCTTTCAAAGACTTTGTTGTGCATTCGATAAGCAGAACGTTCAGCAGTTAGACCCAAAGCCGATATGTAAAATAGGAACAAAATAAAACGGAAAAAAAAGAAATATATCGAAAGCTAAATTAAAATACTTACAAAAAAACACAGTTTACTCGTGTTTCATTTTCAGCGCTTTTTTCCATCTGCAAAATCTTTTCTATTACAGGATAAAAATGACACATTCTCAATTATTTTTGGTAGTTTATTTGGATTTTTATTATATAGCATTGGCATAGGTAAAACATCATACACTTTCTTTTTTTAAATATTTACAAAGAAGACATGAACTTTTAACCATAAAAAGTAATTTACCGCAAAAAAATGTGTCTCAAAAAACTTTGGCCTGAAACTAAAATTGATGATTTTCAACCAAAATGGACATTTTTATCATTTTTTTTCACCAATATTTTTTTCCAGTAAAAAAAAAATGACAAATTGTTCACCTTTGATCTGGGGATCAAAAATTTCCAAATTCAGGTAGACATTTCTACAGTGGCATTTCTCATTAGTGTAAAATTTGCATCTGCCTGGTTTTTTTAAATTTTCCTCTTTACACCTGAATACAAGGAATAGAAACGAGAGATCATCTTACATAAAACTAAACTATAATCTGCTATTCATAATAGGTAGACGTTTGTTTGTAAATATAATATCTTTTAAATTTCGTGAGCATAAAATTCATATCGTATTAAATTCATATTATGAAAATCAACAACTAATTATTTTCGAAATTTAAACGATTGTTTTTCCTTGACCTGGATTACAAAGAACCATATGTTAAATAATAAAAATGGATAAATAACAATGGCAAAAACAATTTTTGTTTATTACAGGCAATCTGTCTTTTTGTCTTCCAAATAAATATGATATAATAAAATATTTTTTTGGGTTTTCAAATATTGAACATCATTTTGTTTCTTCTCTTTTAATTTCATTTTTTTAAACGTAATAAAACATTGTTTTTTTTTGTCGTGAGTTACCTGCAAAGAATTTCATTTATTTTCTCTGGCCATATCAATAAAAATACTTTTAGGCTGTTTGATCTAGTTTGGTAACTACATTTTTTTGGTACGTTTAGCATTTTGTTACTAGAATAACATTCAATATGTGATTTGAAACTTTTATGTGTGTTTGTGTATGTGGAATCTCTTGATAAAATCGGGTTGAATTGCTTTATGGATTTAGAAACAAATCACTAATTATGCTTTTCTTGCTGTGTAATGCATTCTACACAGCATTCGATTTCAGATTTATTTGGTTTTGTTTCTGTTTTTATTTGTGGCAACAACCATTTAACACCTATTAGAAGCACATTCAATGCTAACATTTACATGGTGTATTCAGCGTCTCCTACTGTTTGAACGCAAAGAATCCGGTGGGCTCCCATTCGGATAGGTCGGATGGTCCAAAGCTTTCATCCAAAAACCAATCAACTGTTTTGTACAAATGTAATAAGGCTCCTTTCATGTAATGACCTTCGTTTGTGTAGATCTGGAAGAAGAGTTTTTTTTTTGCATATTGTATGACGATAAAAACTATTTTACAAACCTGATGTCTAAAGCCAATGAATTCTTTTGTGAGGGAGTTGGTCAGTATTAGGGAATGTTGTTCGTGAACTAATGTGTCAGCCGTGCCATGGATTAAGAGAAAATTGCGACTATCAATGTTTCCAACTTTTGTCGAGAGATCCGAATCTTGAATGGCACGTTGATATTCGAAGCCAGATGGCATATAACGTTCCGTGAAATAAGAATCTGAGAAAAGACGAAGAAAAATGAAAATGTGATTTTATGACTTATCGATAAATGGGAAATTCTACTTACTGTGGTAAGCAAATGAAACAATTGGGTTGACAGCAAAAGCACATTGAAGAATGCGTTGCGAATCTTCAGCCAAAATCATTGTGGCTGCATATCCACCGTAGCCCCAACCATACGCACATATTCTTGTCGGATCAATGAATTTCAAATTGTCACGCAAATATTTGAGCACACCCAATTGGTCCTCAATTTCCACCGAACCAAGATTATTCTTAATGGCTGATCGAAGAAGTTCCCCTTGACAAGCGGTGCCTCGAGCATCAATTTGCGCAACAATCATTCCCCTTTGACTGCTCACATACCAATTCCAATCCACTTTGAATTCTTCCGAAACAAGCTGAGAACCGGGCGACGAATCGCTGAAATTTATAAAAAAAAAAGAATACAATATTGGTTGAACAATTTGAATTAGGTAATATGAAGTAATTACACATGCAAAATCAATGGAAAAGCGATTTCTTCGTCCTCCTTCATTCCAGGTGGTAAGAAAAGTCGAACTTGTGCCAGAAAACCATGTCGAATTTCAACGCTAAATGTTCGCACTTGGGGTGCGGCCACTTCGCGTATACGTTTCCGAAGTGCATCGCCGCCATTCAAAAGTGCAACCTTTGTATTTGTAGCTGTCTCCACCAAATAGGTTGATGGTGTGTCGGGTCCCAAGCATTCCTGAACATAGTGGCTGAAATTTTTGCTGAAATAGATTTTGTTGAATAGACAATTGTTTGGAATACGATTGCCATCGTCGTCATCATCCTCCATAATATCGGGTAACATATCAAGTAGCGATGTCATATTTTTCTCGCCATCACTCGAAAACAAATCGTTTGGTGTAAACGATTGTGCAGTTTCACCAACTGGTTGAACATTTTTGATCGGTTGTAATTTTAAATTATTTGTTTTGCACGTCAAACACATTGGCTGTGATGCCACTAGATAAATTCGATTCATATTTTGTGTTACATTCAATTTCAAACTGATATTATAAAGATGACGTTGTCCAGGTTTGTTTGGTGGTGTGGCCATAAAATAGACGATTTGGTTACCGATTTCATTTTTCTCATCCCAACCAACGATTTCAGTAACTTCATAGCGTCCCATGGTCAACGGTATCGTTCGCATATCCGTAGTCGAAATGAATACTAAATGTCTGAAATATCCATTTTCACCATCACGTACGGGCAATCTCTTCAACATACCATGCGTTGGCCCAAGTTCTGACAGATATTTAAATTCATATGCGTCCAGCTCCGATTCAAATGTGTTTTTCGTTTTGTTTTCAACAAAGTTCGAATGTCGAAAATATGCTTCGGTTCGCGAAAAGATTGTTTTATCGTTTGGAAGCACAAATCCATTGTCAACAATTGATTCATTGAACACCTCACGGCATCGGAATGTGGGCGCACGACACAAAACGGTCGATGTACTCGTTTGATTGCGATTGGTGAATGTAATTGAAATATCAGTGGCCGAAATCCAGACCATTTGACCGACATAGTTGTCATCGCCAGCAAGTGGTGAAATGATTGTTATCTGATTGATGAATTTTAAAACTGTCAAATCAACAATGTGCACCGTTACATTTGGATTCTTCGTTTGAGCCTTTGGATAGCGAATCGACTTAATTTCCGGATATTTTAAATCGTCCCGCAAATATGAATATCTAATGGAATGAATCGATATTAAGACATGGACATATGTGGGCTGACAAAACAGAACTTACTTATACTCATTAACTGCAGTGTCATTGAATGATAAATAGGACAGATATGCGCCATCGGTGGAGAATGCAACTGTGTCGCTTATCAAATCGGGTATATGAGAATAGAACCAATCCGCAACGCCATTGTAGATTGTACCTGTTTTACCGGTATGTGTTATCCGACACACCAGATCACTCTCAACCTTTGGTTTGTAATACAAATCATTATCGTACACAAACGCAATTGCCTGTGATGGATTACTCGTGCTGCTTTCCACTTTCGGGGCCCATGTGGCATGCTGTAACTTTGGCACATTTCTTTCAGCCACTTTTGGTGTTAATGGGAATTTGTTTCGTGTATTTACTTCGTAAATATAATGTCTGCGAGAAACAAATTGGAATAAAAGGGTGGATAATTAAATTTTTGAATTTTCATCAATATAAATAGATTATACTCACTTAGCACCATCATCATCGATATCTGCTATGAGCACTACGAAATTTAAATCGGGCGATACTAAAAATCTCTCAGCATTTAATTGTCTCTGTTTTCCAAGGGGAGAAAATGTTTATTTTTAATGTTCAAACGTCATCTGATTAAAAGTTCATAAATGTTAAAGGGGCACTCTACTTACAAATGTGGCATTTGTCATTAGAATTCTAGTTGACAAATTGTTTGTGCTAAGTATGGAAAGCCCTCCGGTGGGGTCTCTGTAAACAAGCTCATAATCTAAAAATAAACCATTAACCGATTACAAATCAAATGTCATTGGGATAAAATATGTATTGCGATGATTCCATTTATCTACATCAAAACAAAATTCGGCTTACCACTTATCCAGCTTCCGTTGAACGCTTTCCATTTTAATGTATTCTCATTTATATCTCCTAACGTAAGTCGCCTACCCTTTACTCGTGAACCCTCATCCTCTGCGTGAATAAATATTCATATTTCAGAAGTTTTCATACATGTATATGGCACGGGAATTGAATGAAAAGTGTATTTATTACCTGGCGATAGCAATACTATCGAAAACACAATTAGTCCCAAAACGGCCGCTATAACCAGCAATGCAATAAAAATACCACGCCAATTTCGTTGACTTGGCGACGATGCGACCAACTCCTGAAAATATACATATAGAGACAAATTTGCAACGCATTAATTTTGCTTTTCATTCAAAGGAGGTGCGAAAGAAAAAGTGACATTTAATGAAAAAAAAAAAACAATTGCGAAATTGTTCGTAAAAGGAAAAATAGAGAAAAGAAATTTGTGTTGTATGTGCTGTGTCATCCATTTTCGGTTACTGCGAACGATTATTTCGAATGACACAAAAACTGATGTATTCACCTCATCTCCACCTTTTGGTTGCAAAGTTACTTTTTTCGTGGGCGTTGTAACTAAGGGTTGTTGTGGTTCATTCCTTGCATTTGGATTTTGATTCGGACTTGGATTCGGTTTCATGTTTATAACCTTTTTTTCTCACTTCTTCACTCAAGTCGAGATAGTGACTATTTCTAGTCGTTGGATTTTATGTGGCTTCTACAACTAACGCTGAGATGTGAAAGAGACGATAAAATTAGGAATTCGAGTTCGGAACATGCGACTTTTGCGACAAAAATGGAAACACATTTATGGCTTTTTGAAAATGGTTCAATTTGCTTTTCTAATAACAATTCACTTGCATCGATTTAAAGTATTAAAGGGTGATTTAAATTTAATTCGTTGCGGAAATTTATTCAGGAAATGAATATTATTTTCACTTTCATTCGGTTCATTTGACTCTTCAAATTGGCGTGGCAACCAAATAACGAACTTGACCGCAAGTCACGCGATGAAAATTGCACACTCTTAACAGTTTCACGCTATGTTCGTTAGCATGATTCCAAGTTTCCAAGACTCAACGCAAAGGCATTAAAAATGCATGTGTTTGCACAATAAAGTAATTTATTTGTTTGAACATTAATAATAATGCCATGCTATATATTATTATATATTAATATATGCTGAGCGAAGTATACTCCTTATAAGGAGAGTGTTTTTGATTTGATAAAGAATTTATATGCCGCCTGAATTGAGTATGTGCAAATTTGATTTTGGTCAAAATATTCATTGCAAGCACCAAGTCTTAAGACAAAGCCTTGTAGTTGGAACCTTCATAAAACAAAATTAATCGATGCATAACTGTAAATAAGCATCCCCATGGATGGCCCAAAACAAATAAATATCCTAATCTACCCATTTTGGACTTGGCATAGCTTTTGCACCCCAAATTTATTATTTATTGGCATCATGGTATGTTCTTTTCTAACGAAAAAAAAGAAAGACTGTCTCTAAATGAAAGACTCTTCGAAAGGAAGTGAACACAATACCATAATTCAATATTATAGTCAATCAATCAAATTACTGCGAAAACTGTATTGAATTTCATTTTCGAGTGTCTAGCTGTCTAGTCATCGATCTTTCCGATATGAATTGCACCCGTATCGCTCAAATTATAAAAAACATCCTGAAAATGAGTAATGTAACCGTGCTGAGTATATATATTTTAAAATGACGCCGTTATAACTGTGTTTGCCATATAAACAAATGGGTCGGAAATAGTTTGATGTTCATATGAAATTGTGTGTGAAATATAAAATAAGTATCGAACCAAAATGCGTATGTTTACCTCAATAAATTGAAACTGTTTATATCTGTGGTGTAATTTATTATGGTTTGTATGTTTGAAAGTGCATAATCCGCATAATAATAACCTTATCAATATTTTCGGTTAGCAAATATTTCCCGAGACGGTAAACCAATAAAAAATTTATACGATAATTCCGAAACATTGTTATATCGCCACATCCTCATTATAGTATATGAGTATTCCATTGCCAGTATGGTAAAGCAAAAGTGAGCGTATTAGTTGACAATAAAAAAGAAAATCTCGCATAAATCTTTATTGATGCATCGACTCTGTTCCGGCGGGTTTATGTATCAAACATTCACTTATTTTCCTTAATTGAATATTACAGTATCCTCTATGCATTACAAATTACATCTACATCAGTCATATTAATAGAGACTTATCGAATACGTAACAGACTCCTAACGATGTAAATCAATACAACTTGAATCGACTTGAAGGTTAGAAATCTCAAACATTTTTATGATTTTTTCAAATCTACACTAAAATGTAAAACAATTGAAACCATTTTCAAAATGTCTGCACAGACATATTTGCCGTTTATATCGCAACCAAATCACTTTTACATCTCACCGATGTGAATTTGTGACGCAGCCGGAGTATACGATGGTAAAACGTGATTTATACGCGTAGTGAACGAATTGTTTATAATGGAATGAGTGCTACTTTTTCTATGTCAGCGAATGGTTACACGGAAACAATAATACATGGAGTATGTGCACATCTAGTACATGACGACGTGGTTAAATAGTGTAAAACTGTCCTTTTCACCTCTCCCCCGATTTAACTTTTACAATGTATATGCGAAGAACAACACACAACATATATATGTATTATATATATTTGTTTCATCCGTAACATACACACAGTCGTCTCACAGATTAATGAGTTCTTTTTTTGTTTGTTTGTTCGACTCTCGAAATACCACAGGCAAATAGTGTCGACATTCGCGCTACTTTCTATTACAAACACTTTGTCTTCGTATTCTCTGTTATTTTTTCTAGTTTTATTTGCTTAAAGCTTTTTTTATCATTCAAAAGAGCATGTTCTGCGCTCGCCTTCAAAATATTTTTTTTGACGCTTCAAAAGCTTATTATATCATCTATTGTCGAATAAAACAAGAGAAGAAAGCGAAATTCATCTCAATTCATCAATATGGATGAATGTATATGAGCGCATAACACATCATGCTTTTCGCTTGCTCTCGCACAAATAATCATATACGTTTCCACACACTACAAGGCATTTACGCGCTTCTCGCTCTTCTGCGACTCTGTATCATAACACTGTGTTCCACGAATTTTTTTCCAACCACACACCAAAATTTGATGCTCTCAAATAAAGAATACCACCAAATCAAACGGCCACGAATGTATCAATGAACTTTCCAAAAAAGAACTAATGAGAACTGAGATGGTACTTTCGATGTGGTTAGTTTTATAGCTTCACTTTAATTAGGTTTAGATATTTTTTTTTTTTTTTTTTTTCAATTAAAGAACGTGCGATGAGAAAGAAAAACAAGAACGATTCACACGATGAAAATGCTCTGCATTGCTACGATGTGCACACTGGAACCGTCGTCAAGTTTTCCATGTTATTTGTACATGTGTAAAGCATCCATTCTATCGAGCGCAATACCGATTAAGGGTGGGGTAAACACTTTCCGCGCAGATGTCACAACGCCATCGTGCGGTCAAATAGAGACAACACATCATGGAAAAAGCAGGAAAAGCTTGAGCATGGTACTTGATTTTTTGGGGTGGCAAGTTTGTTTGGTGCAAAACTTGGAAAAATATATAGACTTTAATACCATACTTTCGCCGATTTAGATTTAACCGTAAGGATGATTGATTTTAGAAGACATAACACTTTAGTGAGGAAAGCACGTTGTATATAACGTTAAGGAGATATTTAGATCTAAGCAAGCGAATCAACGTGTATGGCTTAACACTAAGGAAAAAATCAAATATATGACAATGTCAAAATCAACGAGAAGAATAAATAGATTGTAGCGACCTATTTCCTCAAATAGAAAATCAAAAGTTGAAATCCATTAACATGGTTTGTGAGTGTTGTTTTCTCAAACAAAATCGATTAGGCTTAATTCACGCCATTAACCGTTTTAAGTAAGTGAACCTTTTCATTAGATCCGATGTGGTTTTCCTTTTGGAAAACTCAAGAAGTCAAAAGTTTTCGATGTTTGGTGTTTGTTCGACATGAATATGCCAGCACGCAAGCCACTTGGTTGATCGAGTCAATATACAAGAATGGAATTATAAATTCACCAGCCGTTTACTGTTTCGCAAATGAATTGCTTGCCTTCGGCACGCAAAATGCGCACAAATAACAATAAGGTGAGCAACCATATCGTTGTTCTATTTTCCCCGTGCGTTCATTTCGTATTCTCTTGAACCTTAACAATTTACTGCGTCAAAACAAAAAAAAAACTTTATTACATATTATAAACGAAGATGCGGAGATTCTAGTATGAAAGATATAGCATTTCCGCACATAGAAAAAGCGTTCCGTTCAAAAAAGATAAGCGTGAAATTGTGTGTGTGCTTTTTATAGCAGATGGAAAACATATTCTGCATGCAAAATCCATGTCGCTCAACTAAGATATTGTACAACATGTTTTTTTTTGTTTGGAAAAGAAGAGAAGAAGAAGAAAAAAATTGTGTAGTAAAGAAAATTGTGGATTTTAAGATAAAGGTGCTTCGAATGCAGATCGAAACTAGATTGTAATTTTAACTCATGCATAACGGGTTCACACAATTGGCATTGGATTGAGCTAAATTCCAGTAAAAGTAATCCAATTTACCAAGATAACGAGAGAATGGAAAGGAAACGATAGAGCGATGGCACCGCACAGACTACAAAGTTGTGCAGAAGACATGCCATGAAATAAATTTGAAAATTTTTTCAACTTTAAATCTTCAAAATGACAAATGTGTCATGCCATTTATGGTTCCACATTTTCAATTGCAATTGCGTTGGAATTGTTTCGTATTCTATTTTGTCAATTTTTTCGGTTGATGTCAACGCAGAACCGAAATTCGATAACTTTCAATTATGATGATTCGAACAGGGAATTTGAGTAGTGAATGTCGGAAGCAACCAACATGTTTTTTTTTTCCTTCGAGTGTTTTTCTTACTTGTATACTTGAACGTAGCAAAAACACAAATATCATCCACAGCGCAAATACATAAATCGTCATCTGGCGCTGGGAAACATCACTTTGTTGACATGCACAAAAAATGAATGTTGAATGTTTACATTTGAAGTTAGCGGTCGAATGTTTGTACATTAAAAAGTGTCACGCAAAACTCTTCGTTACAAAATTGATGTTCAAACAAAGAAATAAACTTTGGAATAATGTGGTTTGCCATGTCTCAAGGGAGATTCGTCGACGAAAAATGATTGTGACCAAGTTTTCCGTGTTTGTAAAAACTTCTCTCAATTGCACTCGTGCAGATAACAATATGTGATGACAAACAAAACAAAAAAGGAAAACGGTATGGTCTGAAGCCAATGGAATGCATATTTTCAATGGAGATAATACGCATAAATGTCGACCGAAAGCCATAAAATGTCATCTCTATTTACCGACTGAAACGACCTTCGTCAATGGAATCTATTTGTTTATGCGGAAGATTTTTTTCGCGATTTTATATTTTTATGTTATCTATATATCGTTTTATCAACAGGTGAAAAATGTATTCCGCACAACTGATCTTTTATTTCCGTTTTTACTTTTTTCAGCAATAACAATAAACATTGCAGTAATAAATAGTTTATATTTTTTTGCTACAGTCATGAAATGGTCGCGTTAGTAATAGTGTCATACTGTCACCACACCATATAAATTTAATTTTGTTGCATTGTTCTCAATTGGTTGAAGGAGCCAGGCGAGTGAAAATTTCGGAATAAAAAAAATTGGTCGTATTTTATGTGACGATAAAATGGCATTTATTATATGTGCATATTTTGTTGGATGAATATTCAGTGTGAAAGCAATTACAGATGCAAAGCCAAAAGAGCATTGTTTTACAAAACGCGCAAATATATTATTATTCAATTTATCACTGTTTTTATGGAATTAGTTCTACCCTTTTGCCATTCATTGAATTCACACTTCGCTTCAAGCAGATGACGACGGAATTCAAGCAAACGGAATATGAACACATTCAAGGATAACATTGTTCTATTTAAAATAGCATGAATTTGCATTTGTTCATCTCTGGTTTGGCAATTTATAGAAATAATTACAATCTATATTCATAACAGTGAAATTAAATACAAAACTCAAGAAACTGTTACAATATCGGAACAATAGTTGTTTTTTGCTTTCTCCCTCTCTTATAAATTCTTTTGGTCGGTTTTGTTTATTGGTGCATATACTGTTTGCAATTGGAAATTATGTTGAAATTACCCAGAAACAAAATAAAACCATAACAGATGGTAACTTATCGAAATGACTTTTGATTTTTATATTGCTTTTAGGTGAATATGAACTACATCGTCATTGCAGTAGTTTGATGCGCATGAAAAAGAGCGAATTTCAATCGGTTTTTGGCGAAAAGTTTCGACAGCAATTTCCGTCGGAGTGTGCAGTAGTCCTTTGCGCTCGAATGTGTGTACATTTATTATTTAGAATGTTGATAGTTGGTGAAAAGATTGTGGCATGTATTAGATTTGGATTCTACTAATTACTTTGATACACTTTGATAATGTTGTTTTTCACACAAAACCCATTATTATTGGCTGCCCCTCAACTGATGTCGTCCGTTGTCCAGCAAACAGCATAATTTTTGCCATCACATGCAACAAAAACTATACAAGCAACCACAAGAAACACACACATTATCATAGATAGAAAATCTCTGTTCTGAATCAGTCTCCGAAAATATAATTACATTAAAATATCAAACAACATATTCGCTGGCAATTTGTAAATTACTTTGCATTAATTACATTCGCTTCAATATTGCGAGAAGATCATTCTCGAAAATTATTCTATCGAATAAAAGGTCAAAATTACGCCCGAAAACCGACACTTCGCATAACATTTGCGTAATACAACGATTTGGTTTATAAACAGCAAAATTAATGTGTCTCGTTAACAATGCCTGAGATGGAAATCTATTCTCGAACATTTTCGAATGCTTGACGCGTAGCTTGGTTGAATTGTTTGTTAGTCTGAATTCATAACTGCATTCCGGCTTAACAACTTTCACGAGATTAAGATCTCTCTATCTAGTGCCATCATATTTGAATTCACTGGTGGTTTGCATACTGATTTCGGCGCTGAGATTGACGATGCTGTTGATGATGATTTCATTCCACTTTTCTCCCAATTTTCTTTTTCTTCTTTGAATTTAAAAAAAAAATACATTTTGAATCACATAACATCGTTGCCACCGCCTGAATACTTGAAGGCACTCACTTACACACACAAGAATTTTATGCGAAATGCTCTTTATAATTGGAATTCCCTGAAGTTGGCAACGACATTTCAAAAGAACGACAGCGGATCATGTTTCGTTTGAATTGCGAAATGGCACAAACACACATTCATTCACGACTTCGCCAACAAATAAATTTTCCAATGTCTATAGACAGACAGAATTTACAATTACCTCAATTTGATCTTTTTTACTCATAGACCCTGTATGGCCCGTACTTTGTACAGAATTCATCTTGTTGAACTAGTTGAATTTTTGAAGGTTTATTTTACGATAAAATGTGAATGCTTTTCTATATATTGCGCGCGAATGCTGCAGGAAAAACGTCGATCTATAGCATAAAAATAATGTATGGGTTTTCTTTTCTATCTTTTTTCAATTGAGCACAATAGAATAGAATATAAGTATGGCTGAGTTAACGTTGGTGTTTCTGTTATTTCTGGTGTAATTTCGATTGGAATTCACATGAATTTCCGCAGTGTCTTCATTTCTCTACACATACACATATATATATATAATTGTAACTGGGCTCGTTTCATATAATTTTTCATTTTTCTCTCTCTATTTTAATTTGTACGTGCTTTGCTTCGATAAAAAAAAAAAAAACAAAAAAAACTCACACTGAGCACAGTAACCAAGAGCGAATACACTGTCACTTTGAAATATTTAGGCACATATTACTTAACATAAGCACATTCTTGCAATTCTCTTAATCTAACTAATTGAATTAACGCAGAAACTTTGATATATGTTTTAACCACGATATGAGGAGAAAAGTCCAAGAACGAAATAGTTAACGTATTTTAGTATACTATGTTATTTGGAATGCAAATTTTCAGTTGGGATGTAAATTCTTTAACGATGAAATTCGACAAGTTTAACAATTATTATGAGTTTTATTGGGGACTTTTTTCCCGTCAACTTTTCGATTAAATCATGGGATGTCCCTTTTTTATCTCGCGGAGCAAAGAACTTTTAGTATTATTTTTTCAAGACAACAAATAGACAGAAGTTAACAACTACACTATGTAGAATGATTTGTGGATGAAATTTGATAGCGTCAAATGTGAAACAATGCTAAACGCATCATTCGA